CTCTTGGCGGCCATCAGAGAAATCTTGGGAGTTCTCGCAGGCGAAGGCGACCGACGACCCCGGGGTCGCTGGGTACTTTCCATCCCAGTCGTTCTCGTAAGCCGCAATCGCTCCCTCGATCCTTGGGTGCTCGGTAAGGCACAGCCCTAAAACATTACACATTTCGTGGATTTCCAACCGATTATATTTTTGAAAAGTTCAGAAGATACGAGAACTGCGAGAGAAGGCGTTGTATCCGTCACCAGGTTGCACGTCGAATTCCTGACCAGCTGGCAAGACCCATCCAAATCTCGATAGTTGAACGCGTGGCAGGGCGCATCGCTGACGAAGCATCTGATACTACAGATCTCCTGACACAGTTCGAGGGATTCCCAGCTCACGTTCTCGTACCTCCTCCCCATGTGAACGGCGTAATAATTCGAATCCTCTTCAGAGACCGACCTTTTGGACAGGAGGCAGAAAACCACTAATATGACCCGGAGAGAAGCCATGATGGGAATAAACTCCCGTCGACGAGAAGAAGCAGATGGCACTGAATTGATCCTCGATGGTATAGTCCCGAGTCGCCAGGATTCTTTGATTATACCATATGGTCCTTTTTTGACCGAGCTGTTTCCTTCCATAAAAAAAAGAAATTCACTATTAAAAAAATAGGAAACTTGATGCAGCAATTCCATTCCTTCCTTTTTTTCCTTTTATTGACCACCGCCAGTTTAAAATGAACAGGCCTAAGCATTGAAGTTCTATTGAATTTCTTCATCATACGGGACACAACATACGGAGACACAGGCTGCAAAATACCATGGAAATTATATAGCGCCAACATTTTCCACAAAGTTAATTTCACCTCTAATTCTGTCCAAAAACGTAAAACATGCAAACGAATGTATTTTATGTCATGATCATGATCGATGCAACTTATCTCTGCAGAATTCTCTTGGCCAATATATCAGGAAAATTATATCCTCTGGCAGCGTGGTAGCTTAAACTATTTACCAATCCTTGGCGTGAATAATGTTAATTGTTTCAATCACTTACGACGTTTACAATGAAATCCAATATATATAGAATTTCCCTGGTTTTTCACGATTAAACTAAGAAAACTGGAAGTGACAATGCAGTCGGTAGAAGCCGAGTGGACTTCTGAGCCTACCTATTCTGAGAATGATGGATTTGCAAACCTCCCCTACTTCTCCAAAACCATCCATCCATACTATATTAGAATACGCTAAGGAAATTGTAGGTAGCTGTAGGTCTCTGGCCTACACAGCTTTTGTCCTTTCAAGGACATAGGTTACGTAGTTCCTAAGCCTACATGCCTCTCCTTTTCCGGCTCATAGGCTTGGTAGCTGATAGAAAGGGTTTGTAGGCTCATGTTATGGGCAAGAAGGATAATATTTATGTCATTTTCCTTTCGTTCGCTTATTATTATCCTTCTTTCCATTTTGCCATTAGCACAACTCTCTAGGCGGCCACAACGCATTTTGGATGGAAGACTGGTTGGCAGACGAACCTGTAGAAATGCTAGACGACCATCCACAGTACGTCTGGAGAAATATTGCCTATTGGAATACTGACCAAGGGGTGTGACATTGTCCAGGCTGTGAGGTACGCTTCTGTGGCTCGCAAGCTAAGAATGGGCACACACAGATTCATTGGGGAAATTATATTGGATCCTATCAAGGTATTCTTGAAGCACGAGTCAATGCCGCCAATCAATTTGTGGACAAAAATAGGTACCCATTTACTATTGATGGATACCCATGCGACACATCTTGTGAAAAGCACAATGATTACTGGTGGTGTCTGAAATACATTAACGACTGGGACTACTGCTCTCCACTGACGTCTTTGGACAACTCTCAACTGACATACAAGGGGGAAATCTGCAAAAAAATTCCTGCAGGCAGGAAAAACCAAAGGGTAACATCTTTTGCACCACGGCCAGTAGCTGGGATTATTGCTCGCCTTCAAAATCCCCTTATAGAGCCCCAGGATGGTATCGGGATGAACAACGGTCCATTTATGGAAAGGCATGCATCAACCCCTGTCAGCCTATCCCAGATGGATACGGATTCTGCTACACGGATACCGGCAGTTGGTACATGGAGGGGTGGGACTGTTGCTCCACTGAACTTGGGAAAACCTACAAGAGTGACACATGCGCTGATGATTGCAAAAATCGTTCCTATGAATATAATTTTTGCAAGAAATATTCTGGAGGATGGGACTGTTGTTCTCCCAGAGGACAGCCAAGAAATGAGAGATTCGTATGCGAGGAAAATTAATTTTTAGATATTTATTCAGGAGGTGCTAGGGGTTCCAGTACTTTAACGCCATAAAACTGGGCTTGGATCGCCTCCGCAAACTCTCTGGCTTTGTTTTTCTTCATGTATCCGTGAATATTTCAGTGCTCTTTTAAGAATTCCTTTACTTTCGTAACTGACTTCATGACGAGTTTCATTTAGAGAGCGAACGTTTCATTCAGCCAATCCGACATTAATAATTTGGTTTTTTTTTTTGGTATATTCGTGCCGCCTGAACCAGATGGCAATGATATGTAATGTTTTTTTTTTTATATTCTATTTCCAATAGTACGTAAAAATGCCTCATGGCAATAATGCAATGACGAACTGGCTCATGCCCAGTATAAATTATTGACTTCACAGACATAAATTTAAGACAAAAACCGCTCTCAATGCTGGCCAAAGATGCTCCCCGTCTCATATTTAGGAATATGGGCTTCCATATTCCAAATGCGTTTCCACGAGCCGTCAAATGGCATGCACGCGCAACAATCCATTATGTGTTGAAAAGTCACCACGTTCACGGCATGACCGTGCTAAAGTCCAAAATAATTTTATCTCGTTATGACTTAGCGAGCTTCTGGTGACAGTCGTGTCAATTCCTTGAGACAAATGTTTCGAAACCAAGCTGGGTTTTTAGAAATTTTACCCTTTTCCCAGCTTGGCCTCATGGCGTTTCACGGTTTTCCCCTCGAGCATCGAAGAATAAAACGTTCCCAGGGTGGGATTTCGTGCATTCGGCTAATCACACGTTCCGACCGAAACATGTCAAATTTCTCGGAAATGGAAAACCATTTGCGAACCTCCAGAGTATCAAATTTTAGCGTTGGTTAAATGATGTGCTTGAATTCCACATTTATTCTTCCTCACTATGTGAAATTAACCAATATCCATACAGAGAATGAGACTCAATAAAAGACAACAGTCGGCTGACAGCAGATTTATTAAATTACTAACGTAATGATAATACAGATCAGGTACATGTTGATCAAGTCCATATAGGACACAGGGGATGGGCAAGAAGGATGCAGTCACTCCTGCTTGTCGAAATGGTGACGTTCGTCTGTTAGTACTATCTTCATGTTGTTTCATGGCAGACCTCCGCCCCTTCCCTGCATGGAAGGGAAGGAATTGCCCTTCACGAGTACGAAGAAGGAAGGTTCAAAGTCATGCAATCAAATAGAGGGCAATATATTTCCCCCATGAAAGTTCCAAAGTTACCTGCCTATTTATCGGTCTCTATCATCGTCCTTTACTTAGACCACCGCCCGCACCTTTCATCTCACTAATCGGAGACTCGCTCTCGTCTCGCCATCTCTCGGAAGAACGAGAAGACGAGAGTTGCCGCTATATTCGCAAGGGAGCGGTGGCATCGAAATAGGGGTGGTGCATTTTTCTTAAACTCCATTCGCCTTCGCCTCCTTCGCTCCATTCATCGATCGGGTGCCGAAGATAATCATGAGTCAATTAGACCTGCAGGCTTTATGCATGCTAGCTCGTGCAAAAGCACGGAAAAGAATACTGTGGAGAATCGTGGTAATGCCCGCGATGACGCTGATGTATCATGAGCCCTTAGGGCAGTACTGCTATCGGTCAGTGGATTCCGAGGAACAGCAAGAACATGCCAGATTAAATTTACATGGCATTGGAAAAGAACCCAGGCAGCCATGTTTCCATTACAGCCCCAAGCGACGCCAATGCTGACCCAGCAGCAAAAGGAAGGGCGAGTACAATTGGCACTTGACAGAAGCCCAATGGCGTCCTCTCGGACAATCGATGGACAATCGATCGATTGTCCGGAAATACGATATGAGGTTTTGTTCCAGGAACGCGAAAGCAGAGAATTTTCAAACGCAGGCAGAATGTGCGATGAGCCTTCAGCATTAAAGGCCAGGAATCATTCATTCAGAAGGATAAGGGAAGGTTCTTACCCAAGTTCTTCAAGAACATCCACTTTCTGGTGGAAGACAGTTTGGATCATTGGATTTTTTTAGGAGCAGCATGTACCCAAAAAATCGATGGGCCACCGTTCAATGATTTTTTTCCCACCAGAAACTTTTCGTTGATGCTTAAACGACGCGTGGAGAAACGGAGGGCAACAAATCTAGAAGAATTGCAACGATTAGTGCTTGAAGAATGGCAACGAATCGCCATGCCGGCCATAATTCATTTAATCGCATCGTTGACACAGAAAAAAGTTTGACTCTTGTTGATTCAGAGGGAAATCCAACCAATTATCGAATATTTTTCATAGGGAATCTGTGCACAAAAAAATTCCCGAAATGTATCCCTGCCAACAGTTGAAACTCCAAATCTGTTGGCACCTTCTTTTCCAATTAGTTGTATGCGTATCCTGACATTCATGCAAGGATGGGTATGCTCCCTCCCTTGTTGAAGTGAGTTTTCCCAACTTTCCACTACTCCCATACCCCATCCTCAAATGTCGTTAATAGTTTCATGTTGACAAATTTGTATCATGCGACATCAGCAGTGGTTGAGTTCTTTTTAACGCTGCGCACCCATGCGCTACACAGAAGCCCGCCCACTGAAATCGGAACAGGGGAGCATACCTTGGCCATTGGTCCGTAAGAGACGGGCTACACTCGATTTTAGGAGAGCTCCAAGGCACAGGCGAAACTTTGCACCTACATAGCACCATAGTGCAGTAATCAACTTTCAGTCAAAGAAACGACAATGTGGAGGAAAGTTTCAATCGCCCCGGTGGTCAATGCCAGAGAAGCAGATTTCCAGTTTGAGGAGAAGGGAGAAACGGTTGGTGTCGGCTCAGTCACAAAGAGATTCCTTCAGAGATTTTCAGGACACGTGAGTCTTCTTCATTTACGTTGTATTTGCACATAACCCAATTTACTACTGGTTCTCACAAAGGGATCCGGTTTAAAATCATTTTGGAGGATTGTATTTGACAAAACATATTGAAAGGGTATTATTATATGTTAATTTTTCAAAATTAAAGTAGGTATTTCCCCAGACGTGTCCGAACTGCATGAATATATTTTTGCTAATGGAAAATTATCCCAAGGGAAATAATTGTTCCACGGTAAACTTTACGAGGGACTTCCAGAAAGAAAAGTTATCATCCCGGGTAACAGAATGCACATTTTATGTCTGAAATAAGCTTTAAGTAGTAACCAATAGCGGATGTTAAGCACAACCGATAATATGTAGGGGTGCAACACAATTATTTGATTCCTTACGTTTTCCCTAGCACCATATAACCTTGAAACAATATTGATTAAATGTTGGTTCAACATCTGAACGTTGAAACAACGTTGATTCAATGTTACATGCTGCTCGGTTTGAGCTATCAACGCCTGCTCGGCAATTAAAATTCGTCCAATGTAATTCCCATTCTCATAAACATTGAGGACGGGACCCCTGTAAACACGGATTTTGCGGATGAAACGAAAAATACGCATATTTTGGGGGAGGTGGGTTTCGGACTCATTGAACAAATACTCTAAGGAGTTTTTAGCCTCGAAGCTATTAAATTTAAGACAAATCCATTTAGAACTTTAGGAGTAATGGCTTTTCATTACTGCAGTGCTTTTTCACTTCTGTTTGCACGAAAGGCCCTGGAACCAAGGCTATAGTAACACACTCAATGTCTTAAGAAGACGCGGACTGATCCTTCGATAGAGCGCTGATGAATCTGATCATTCAGGGTCTGGGTCGTTTTGCGTATACGGACTCCTCTCGCTTCAGAAAGACAATCTGGCTTCTCGTCTTCATTACCGCATCGTGTTACATGACCCACGGGATCATCGGAGTCTTCACGGCGTTCATGTCTGGTGCGGTGACTACCTCGACTCAGGTACATCACCCTGAATCCAATCTCAATTGTCCACTTAACACATTCACTTCCAGGGATTGAAAT